GGGTGGCAGTGGCCTTTCCCCCGCCACTGCCTGGCCCGTAGGTGCCGGCGGCTGTGGTTTCAGTTTGGTTTGCTTTCCGTGGAGAGCACACCGCTGCCTGTGCTGCTTTGCTTGAGTGATGCAACCCTCCTGCCCGTGCCGAGCGCGTGGTCGGAGCCAGTGCAGCCCCGGCGTTGGCGGGTCCCTGCGTGGCGGAGCAGAGGCGGGCGAGGGGCGCAGGACCATCAGTGCCGGGTGGGCTGCCGGACCCCTCCCCACACGCCTTTGGTTCGCAGACTGGGATGGGACTGGTTTGGTTTCTCTAATGCATCGGCCACTGGCTGTCATACATACAGCGATGGGTGGAAAACCAACAAAACCTTGGCCGCTGCAGCTGTAATATTCTATTAAATATTCTCTTTGAAGTGAGGAGAGGCACAAACATGTTTGAGTTTGTGAAGTTTTATGCTCGAATGTTCAGTTCCTTGATTTTTAAATTAAAAAAATATTTTGGGTGCCCATATGCAGTGTTTTTTGGCTCTTACTTTTTAAAGGGGGAGTGGAGACCTTTCATATGCAAACATACATCTTGTGAGGCTTACAAACCACTTCAGTTGCTGTTTCCCCTCCTGGTTTATATACCTGGTTTTGGTTTGGGTATTTCAGATTTGTGGTTTTCATAGGGAGCAGGAAAAGAGTTCCCAGTAGTAATCTTAATATTTTAATAGGTTTACAAACACGTGGGAACAGTAGCATTTAATATGAGAGACACTGGGAAAAAGAAAGATGAAATATAGAACTACAGAAGTGTCTTAGCTGTATGTTCATTTTTCTGCTTAAAACCTAAGGTTTGGTAACATGACAAAAAATAACATTTTTATTAATACTATGCTACAATAGCAAATCAAAACATCATCTAGTAATATAGAGATATTTAAGGTGTTAAATCATATATTACATTTGATATACAGCACTTGATTTGAAGCCCCTTTTTCAGACAAGTGGAGTTAGAAATTCTCTGAAAACTGGTAATAAAATGTCTGTGAACCTTATGCACAGTTGTTTAAAACCCATAATAGTGCTGCCCTTGCTTTTCTCATGGTGTCCTTGCTACAGCTGAAGCAAACCCAAAACCGGTTGGTTGTAACGGCAACTTTTCAGGCTCCTTTTTACACCCTGGGAGTCTGGCTATTTCTCTCTCTAAGTCAGTTTGAAGCAATGATAAAGTGCAGTCCGTAAATGTTCAAATGTAGAGCCTTACCTTCTGCGTAGTGCAGGGCTTCGCAAAAGGCTCCTGCTGTCCTCTGCAGCCTTCCTCGTCCCCAGCTTTTACGGAGGGAGCTGCGTGCTTCAGGTTAGTGTGCTTGCTATATTTAGTTGCAGTCATTAAACTTCCTTTTTTAAATCATTCCTTCACTTTTTTTTTTTTTTTTTAAAATCTTATCTTCCGACCACTCCCCCAGCATCGCTCCCTGTGCAAGCGCGGTCGCGGAGGCTGCTTTGCGCGCATCCTCGCCGATGGGGAGCTCTTCAGTGGGGTCTGTCCGTGCGGATGCTGCTTCCAGCTGTGGTGTAAAACCAAACGCTTGAGACAGACACTCCTGAGAACGTTTTGTGTGTGAAGTTTGCTTTCTCCACTAGCACCTTTTTTCCCCTGAAGAAAGGCAGTTACCGTGTAGGCGTTCCTAGCCTGGGACATCTTGGCCTTTTGTCAGAATTATTAATGGCAAAATATGACCTTTCCTTTTCTCTGTTTGTAGATATCATTACCAGTTGTAGAGTTTTAAATTTAGATCATTTTTATAATTGTTATAAATTTTCCTTAGTTAATTCGCTGTTACTGCTGGTGAGGAATGAGCCTGTGGTCCTCACCCAGCCGCTCCCAGTTCCCGTCACAGAGATGTCACAGAAGCCGTTTGGGAACCTGAGACTTTATTTGCAGGAAACTGGAATGAAGCTGGTGCATCAGCCTGGCAGATGCTCCTGGTCACAAAGCAGTTTGCGGTGTGCACGGAACGGCAGCCAGGCTGGGCTTTTCTCCTCCCAGGGGCTGTGCTCAGCAGCAGTCCTGCAAGGGACGGCTTTGCCAACTCTCTCTCTTTTTGGTCCTCAGCAGCGCCTGTTCTAAGGTGAAGCAGACGATATACGGCAACGTTCAGCCTTCAAATTCCAATTTGCTGTGGGACCCAGAGTTCATGCTTGATTTTATCGAGAACCCTTCTGCTCACAGCGTTAACTATGCGATGCTGGGCAAGATCCTGAGCGACAACGCAGCCAACCGCTACAGCTTCGTCTGCAACGCGCTGATGAACGTCTGCATGGGGCACCAGGACGCGGGAAGGTGAGGCAGCCTGGGCTGGAGGGATTGTTACGTGGGGTATGTGAGGTTTCCTTTTACCTTTTTGGTTTGTGTCTTTCCTGCACTTGTTTTCGTTCATTGCCCTTCCTGGTTGCTGAAGATGTGTGGAGGGAGTTTCCTCTGAGTTGTTTCATTAAATCAGTGGGCACAGTTGAACAGGAGGGAGGGACGAGGAGAGAGCCCTCCCTGTACACCCGGCGGTGGGCTGTTTGTGTCAGCGGCTGTGCCCTTGCAGACAGGACAGCTCAGCACAACCTTTGCTCGTTAGAAGCCTGTAAACGAGGGAAGGTTCTGCATCAGGGCATTTCCTCCTTCTGATGGAATCGGTGTTTATTAAATGTGCAGTGTATCTGTTATGGGTTTCATCTTCATAGGTAATATGTAGACTTTCCAAAAGTGTTTTTTTTAATATATAGAGAGTTTTATTGGATAGAGGCTACTCGCGTTCTGACAGCTGTCGGTTGTATTTTAAGAGCAGCTGGGACCTCCCGGTGCGCGGGTGGGTCAGGCTCCGGCGGTGAGAGCGGAGGATGAGATCTCAGCAGGATGCCCAGCGCTGTCCTTCTGTGGCTGTCTCTGACCCCAGCCCGTGTTGGCTCCTGTCCCAGTCCGGTGGAGCTTTGGTCTGACCCAGCATGGCACCTCTGGGGTCTTAGGTCTGGGTTAGAGCTTTTTAGGTGACCTGAAGGTAGGGGTAGGAAGTGTGGTGAAGAACCCTTGCGGTGAAACAGCATCAGTGGCAGGGTTTCACACTGCCAGTGCATTTTCTTTCCAAATTCAGATATTCATCTCTCAGTCGCTTCCTCCTTCCACCCTGCAAGCCCATGACCTCGGCGTTCCTGTGCAGGCGCAGCTCTGCGGTGCTGGAGCTGTTTTATCCGGGATTTCCATCCTGCAAAGCCTGTGGTGCCAGGTTTCTGGATCTGGGCTTTACCCTTGCCCCCAGCTCCTTTGTTGCTCTTGCACGACCAAACCCCCCAGAACTTGGTGTTCTGGTTCTGTTCCAGTTTTTATTAAGAAATTCTTGGTGTTGATAGTTAGGCCTGGGTGCAGCAGAGGCTCGCAGTCTTTTTTAAGGTTGGTGACAGATGACAAAACTTGGAGAAACTGTGAATATTTTTTTTCTTTTCTTTTCTGATTGATTCCTGCCCAAAGTGTGTGCAGTTCCTGTGTCCTCCCTGTCCCCAGTAGGAAGCCACCTCTGAAATGTCCAGAGGAGCCACGGAGATGGTCCGAGGCTGGAGCAGCTCCCGTGCGAGGACAGGCTGAGAGAGTTGGGGGTGTGCAGCCTGGAGAAGAGAAGGCTCCGGGGAGACCTTCCAGCACCTTCCAGTGCTGAAAGGGGGCTACAGGAGAGCTGGGGGGGCTCTGGATCAGGGGGTGCAGGGACAGGACGAGGGGGAACGGTTTGAAGCTGCAAGAGGGGCGATTGAGATCAGATATCAGGAATAATTTTTTTCCTGTGCGGGGGGTGAGGCAGTGGCCCAGGTTGCCCAGAGAAGCTGTGGGTGCCCCATCCCTGGAGGGGTTCAAGGCCAGGCTGGATGAGGCTTTGGGCAACCTGGGCTGGTGGGAGGTGCCCCTGCCCATGGCACTGGATGGGCTTTAAGGTTCCTTCCCACCCAAACCAGTCTGTGAGGTGCCGGGCATCCCTGGCAGAGCAGGGCAGCTGGGAGGAAGCAGTTTTGTAAGAGCAACGAAGGGGAACATCTAAATGTGGCCAAACGAGTTTCACTGTGGAAGAGAGAAAAAATAACTTGCGCTGGGATGAGTCACCTCTGCTCTGGTTTTGGAGATGTTACATAACTCTGAATCACACGCCGAGTCGCACAGTACACGGTGTGCAAGCTGCAGGTCAAAGCCACGGGCGCCAGCGGGTTCTGTGCCTCCTCCCTCCTGCGCAGCAGTGCCGTGTATGGGGGGGCTCCTGCGCCAGGTGTCCCTGCTGGTGGGGCGCTGGGGACACAGGCACCACCACCCCTTCTGGCGATGTTTTTGCTCAAAGGAGGATGGAGCTGCTGCGTGTGTGGCAGCCCCGAGGGAAGGCTGGAGTGAGCCCCATAGAGGGGGGCGGTGAGTCGTGTTGGGGGGGTTTGGGTGCTCCAGCCCCCTCCCCGGGCAGCGCAGGGGGTACACAGTGGGGTTTGCACACAACAGTGGCCCTCTGCTGCTGTGGGCTGGATGGAGGCAAGCTCTGCGGTACGAGTCACATACTGTTTCTTTTTCCAGATGCTCCAGTTGTCCACAACTGAATAATTTATACGTATAGGTTATGTACAGTAGTGCAATGACATTTGGGCATAAACCCCACCTTAATGAAAGAAACACCGCTTCTTCTGCCCAGTGCTGAGCTGCTTTTACCTAAATATTTGTTGTTTACAGAATATCTTGCTCCTGTATTAGTTTTCCTCTTCCTTCCTAGGATTAATGACATAGCAAACCTTTGCGCAGAGCTGACGGCGTGCTGCACGGTGCTGAGCTCAGAGTGGTTAGGGGTTGTGAAAGCTCTTTGCTGCTCTTCAAATCACGTCTGGGGTTTCAATGACCTGCTCTGCAGCGTGGATGTAAGTTCAGTATCTCCTGAAGTACCTCTTAAACCTGTCTACCTCGTGTGCACACAGAGGTATCGTAAGGTTTCCATTCAACACAAAACGCGGAGCACAAGTTTAGTCCTGTGTCTGTTTGAGTTTGCAAGGCTTTTAATGAGATTCCCGATTGATTTTTATTCTTTCCTGCATCTTCAGGGTTAATGGAGAATTTGGGCAGTGCTTAGAGTTTTCTCTCTGTAATATTTATTCTTTATTACAGAATGATGTGGAATATTGGAGGTGATCTTTAAAGGGAGCAGACATATCCATATACTTTTTCTAAAACGCTGCTGGGTGTGTAAATAACCCTCTCTTGTAAAGACCCTGTTTTGGTGTTGGCTCTTAGATTGTAGGAGGAGTGGCATGCTTTGCTGTTTCTTACTCACCTGGTGCGAGTTACCCTAGTCCTGTTAAAGTGGGCAGGACTGTGGTGACTAACATTATCCAATATCTGATTCAATATATTTATCTGTGGTTTGATTACCTGTGCCTTTAGGAACAGATTGAGGCTGCGTACATTGGGGACGTATTCTTGTGCTGAGGGATGAGTATCGATGTTATCTGTTTTTATAGAATGATGTCTTTTTCTCAGGTTTTTATAAGACTAATGTTTTTATTTCAGAATTAATTTGTGGTGTCTGAAATAGGAGTTTGTTAAAAGTAAGAGCTATCAGTATTTGCTGTAAAATGTTTGGGAAATGCATTAAAATGTAGAGAGAAATGCTTATGTGTGAACATTTTACTGTTTATTCTTATAGTTAATTCCTCAATAACCATGTCAGAGGTGTGTGCGCTGTTATGTGAAGCCTTGCAATGTTTTTCCTTCGAGGTGAGTGACCTGTCGTTCCACGATTCCCTGGCCACCTTCATCGCCATACTGATCGCCCGGCAGTGCTTCTCCCTGGAGGATGTGGTTCAGCACGTGGCGCTGCCTTCTCTTCTTGCAGCTGGTAAGAAAATACCAAGATAAAAACTAAAAATGGAAAACGTAAGGCTTTTTAAGAAGCCTCCGCTGGTTGTACGGAATGGCACCCATGGTGCATGGCAGCAGGTGTGTCCCTGCGCTTCCCCAGCGGAGTGACACTGGGGTGGGTTGGAGAAGCCGCACGGGACACGTGGTGTCACGCGCTGTCCCCTGACGTTGTGCAGCCTCACCTTCTGCTCACAGCTCTTTTCTGCTCGGCTCAGGTCGGCTCGGGCTGTGCATTTCCCCGGCATCGGGCTACCCGATGCTGGCATTTTCTCTCTGGCCTCGTTGCTGTCCCTCCAGCCCTGCGGTACCGTAGCTGTGGTCCCCTTTGCTGGCCACTGCGCACGTTTCTTTCCGCTTTCTGCTTGGATTTGTGTTTTTATTGCTGCTTTGACTGTCAGAAGCCATTTAACCGTGCATCCTCTTCTGCCATTAGTTGGTCTCACGCTCACCCAAAGTCACACCGCTCCTTCCTGGTGTTTGATGACTCAGGGCTGTAAATGCTGATTCCTGTCGATGAAGTTTCTGTACCCCCATCTAAAATGGGGCTGTGAGGTCAAACATTTCCAGGCCCGCCACTGGGACTTGTGGGGTCCTGGGCACATGCCTGACGTCCCCGTCCCGTCTCCCGTAGCCTGCGGAGACCCAGACGCCGAGCCCGGGGCGAGGATGACCTGCCGGCTCCTCCTGCACCTCTTCAGGACACCCCAGGCCTGCCCCTTTGCCCAGGGAGCCGGTAAGCTGCCCGCTGCGCCGTGCTGTCCTTGCAGAGGCTGGGTTTTGGTGGCTGCAGAGCTCATGTGTGCAGGTACCCACAGCGCAGGTGGAAGCGACAGCCTGCTTAAAGTTACAGATGTTCCACGGGGTATTTGTTTGGGAAATGGTTTATATGCACGTAAAACTGTAGAACTTTGCTGAAACTTATTCAACACCTGGGTGGCCGGGGTGGCATCATGGTGACATAAACCTCAGCCATACTAATATTACATCTTTAAAAAGAAAATTAAGTTCTAATGCAGCGTCTGTGTTCACTTCAGCAAAGAGGAATGAATTTAGAAGAAATTCTGTCCGGATAGTTCTCATTTTGTTCTGGGATCTCACTGGAACAGTCGGTGAGCCAGGACCCGTTAGTGCTGGGCTTGTGCTGGTGCTGCCGGTGGCACTGGACGGATCCCTGTCCCCACCGTCCTTCGTACCAAGTGCTGCCGGGGCAGTGACGGCTCCTGTGCTGGGTCACCTGGCAGGGACACAGAAGCTAGTAGGGACACTCGTCACACAGTTCGGTGGCCTCGCATGTAAATGGAAATTTAACGTGATTTGAAGTAGGGTATAATAAGGCATCTAGTCCAACAGAAGAAACTCAAGGAAATCAGTGTTCAGAATATATTCATGTAGTTCTCTTTCCTTTTACATTTGAATACTCTGTGGTCTGACCTGTATGTTTGCCGCAGACTGAAAGAGGAAGGAAAGGGCAAGGAACAAGCACCTAACAATTAAAAGGAAACAAGACTGGAAATAACCTGTGGTTTGACTTGCAAGTGTTTCAGCAAATTTGATGACGGGACTATGTGTAAGGGAAAATGAAATTGAAAGAAAAAAAAATTTTCAGCTCTTAACTGGCGTCAAATTCTTCCATATAGAAGTAATATTAGTTTATTTTTGACCAGAAATGACTGAGCTTTTGTTGCCTGTTTGAACAAAAATAAGTAAGAGCTGTGAAGAATACTGTCTGAGGAGCAGAAATACGTTACGTGGTCCCAGGCTTCCCTGGAAACAAAAATAGATTTGAATGGATAGGAAAAATCATGTCTGAACTCTGGGAATTGGTACAAATCAAACCAAGTGACCATGTTACAGACTTTTCATACCCAGGGCTCGGGTAACCCCCTCAGGACGGTGGGAGATCCTTCCTCCCTTCCGTTCTCCCTCCCTGTCCGTCAGCCTCTGTCTCCTTCAAGCCAGCAAAAGCTCTCACTGGCTTCACCTGCAGCCTGCTCCTGGGCTGCAGAATTAGGCTTAGCTGGGCACCTGGCTTTTATGTTCATTAGTGTTGCCTCATTTGTGATGAAGGCTGGGTGGGGGAAGTAATTTCCTACATCAGTGAAGTCAAAACCAAACTGGGCGGCAGTGTCTCATTGTGGTACTCAGACGTGGCGAATGACAGGCTCCTATTGCTGCTGAAATGGTCGTCACTGATTTGGGTATGAATACCTCATCACCAAGTATCCCAGTGGGTTTTAATGACTTACCTGCTGGTCTTCAGGTCCAATTTCAGGAAATTCAGTTCTTCCTTCAGTTGTTGGACTTCCAGAGCTCTTCTAGATGGGAAGGATTTTGTGCAAAGGGAATTTTAGCTGGTAAATAACAACCATTTTCTGCAGGGTTTTCTCTTCTTTCCGTAGGGAAGTTATTTCCTGGAATTCGTTCTTCTTGCGATCGTCACCTCTTGGCGGCTGCTCACAACAGCATAGAAGTGGGAGCTGTGTTTGCAGTCTTAAAAGCGATTCTGATGCTTGGTAAGATCGTGCAGAGTCACGTGCGATGTTTTTGTTCTAGCGTTCGGGTGAAAGCAGCTCGCGCTAGTTCAGGTCCCTAGGAGTGCTCCTGGGAAAGGAAAACCCTGATAACGGGAGAAAAACGCGCTCTGTGCTTCAGTGGCATGTGAGTAGCGTGTCCTTTACAGGTCAAGAGACAGAATTTTTCCGTGGTGAGTCAGCCCCAGCTGATGAGACTCTCTCACACTTTGACCCCTACCCCCACCGAGTCCCAGTCCATTTCAGACTCGGGCGAGTCCCTCTCAAATACAGAGAGGAAACACGGTCTGAGGTCATTTTTCCCACCTTTTTCTGTGTTTTACCACAAATCACGTGTGTCTGTCATTGTGGAAGTTGTAGCAGAATCGCTGCTAAGCCCCTCTCCCTGAAGGAGGGGTGTTATTTTTCTGGACAAACATCTGCCTCAGAGCTGGGGTTTGGCTGGAGCTCAGGTCAAACCCCTGTGACCTGTGGCGGTGTGTATTTTTGGAGCTAAGTACATTTCCAGCTAAGCAAGCAAGCTCTTCCAGATGTGGACATCCCCACGGAGGTGCACCTCCAGCTGCAGGCTCAGTGTTCTGTCCTCTGCTGTCGGTGTCTCAGGAGGGTCTCAAACCCCACGATCCGCGATGACGGGACTGTCCTGGGAAGGGTGTCAGAGGCGTGGCTGCCTGGGATGGGCTGAGGGATTTGAGAGAGAGTTTGAAATATGTTTGTGGCCATTATCTATGTTCTGCTATTCAGAGGGCTGAGATTGGCTGGTTTCCTTCCCTCATGGTGTGCAGTGTGGACACCTGGTTCCACGCCTGCGCAGGGACGCGGTCTGGATGGGCGCTGGTGCGGGGTGGGACGGGGAAGGCTCGGGCACAGCGTGTGTCTGCCTGCACTGCAGCACATCTCCTCCACCCACAGTGCTGCATTTGGAGATGTCTCCTGTTGGCACCCTGTTATTTAAAAATTGTACCAGCTTTGCTGAGGAAAAGCATCAGATGAAGGGCAGCTGTCGTGCTCGCTCTGATGTCCGGGCAGGCTCCGGGCTGTTACGTGCAGCAGTTTGGGCTCTTTCCCCCACTACGACATGCTGCATTTGCATCTTCTTCCTTGTCCAGGCTTTCATAGAATCATAGGATCATTAAGGTTGGAAAAGACCTCAAGGATCATCAAGTCCAACCCAACCCCTCCTGACTCACTAACCCATGTCCCGAAGCACCACATCTCGGCGGGTGGGTGGTCTGGGGGCACGGGGGCTGGGGCGAACGTTCACCCTGCACTTCTGTGCTTCTGCTCTGCAGGGGACGCCGAGATCGGCAGCAGCAACGTCGGCTCCGTGAAGAGCGAAGACTTCCACGTGAGAAGCTTGTTAGATGAGCTCAATGAGGATGAAGTCTGGGCTTCCTCGCATGCTCTGAAATCCTGTGGAAAAGCCGTGTCCATAGAAACGGCCAGTTTAAGCGAGTACGCGAGATACGTGCTAAGAACGATTTGCCAGCAGGTAATCTCTGAAACTGCTCTTCTGTCTTAATTTGGAGAAACAACTCCAAATGTTGTTTTATTTGAAAAGTGTAACGTGTATTTTGGTGCAAAGTGAACGTTGAAGTGTTTCTGTATTTGCGTTCTGTTTGGGTTTCCTGATTTGGACAGTTTATACACGCAGTAGTGTGTTACTGGGGGAAAAGGGCTTCGGTTAGTGATCAGCATCTCCCTGGACTCTGCCAGGATTGAGGTGTTTCTCCTGCCTGAACCTCGGGCACTTGAGGAGGCAGGAGGAGCACTCCAGCAGCCGTCTGCTCAAGCTGCTTCTGCAGTAGCATTTGTTTTATTGCAAAATTGATTTCAAAGTATAGAAGAAATGAATTTTGGAAAACCTGTTAACAGCCTTATACTTTCGGGTGGTACTGAATGGCAGAGGATATTTCTAATCTCATGTGTTGCATGAGCCATAGTTTGCGTCAAGTTTTGCCTGTGGACAAACCACAGAGAACTGTTTAGTTTACCAGAAGCTAATGTTGCCATGAAACGATCTTGTGTATCTGTTCCCTGATTGCTTGCAGGAATGGGTTGGAGAGCACTGCTTAAAAGAACCCGAGAGGCTGTGCACAGACAAAGATCTTATTTTGGATCCCGTGCTTTCAAACAAACAAGCACAGAAACTCCTTCAACTTATCTGTTATCCTCATGGTGTTAAAGAGTGCACCGAGGGCGACAACCCTCAGAGGCAGCACATCAAACACATACTGCAGGTAACGCGGCGGGAAGAGGTGGAAAAACTGCCCGTGATGCACTGACAGTGGCACCACCCGGGGACATCAGCTGGGGGAGACATTGCCCCCTGTTCCTCGGGCAGTCGGGTGTTAGATTCTTTAACGATGCTGAATTTACTTTAATCAGGTCTAGATGGCCTTGTGCTAAATACGGACACGGCCACTTGGATGGCAGTGCCATGGATGAATGTCATTACAAATCAAAGAGCAAATTATGTTTTCCATGTTCATATCTAACTAAACTCAGATTTTGCAGAGAGCGAGATTCTTATTCAGGAAAGTTGTGTGGTTAAAAGTATTGAGTAACGATGTCAGCTGCAAAGATGTGGAAGTTAACGTACTTTCTTTAATGGGTCTGATGGTTTGGCATTAGACTGTTAAAAAGAGAAGCGTTTGCAATGATCTGCCTAGAAGATGAGGCTTTTGCAATCTCAATTATGAGATTTGTTTTTTCTTCAGACCTGTGAAGTGTTGACCCTTGTGTTTGTAATGTTGATTCTTCCCTAGAACCTAGATCAGTGGACTCTCCGGCAGTCTTGGTTGGAGCTGCAGCTAATGATCAAACAGTGCATGAAGGAGCCTGTGAGTATTTGCTTTCAAACTTTCTTATCTAAATATTTAATGCAAAAAAGTATGTTAAATTTTAACGTAGTCCACGAGCAAACATACCATGAATGTGCTAGTGTACTTATGTTTTACTGTAGGGTTCTGGGTCTGTGGCTGAAATGAACAGCTTGTTGGATAATATCGCAAAGGCGACAATAGAGGTGTTTCAGCAATCCGCTGATCTAAACAATAACTCTTCTAACTCTGGTATAGGCCTCTTCAGTCCAAACTCTGTTGGAAATGCTGACACAAGTAATACAAGACAGAATGGTAAAAAGACATTCCTAAGGTATTTTTTGTAGCACCTTTTTAATTATTTTAGCCAACATGATGCTTAATTGTGTGTAGATTGCCTAGACTTTTTTGCGCTTGAGAGAAGAATGTACAGAAACGAGTTACCTGCAGGTTACTTCTGTTTGCTTTTGTTTAACAATAAGTATAGTTGCTATTCTTGAATTTTCTGGAAGCCAGAAGTTGTGGCTGCTCAGTCCACGCTAGTTACTCCAGATGCATTGTGCCAACTGCTCTGTTAAAGCAGTTCAGGCTTATCACAGCTAATACTGGTTGCAAAGCTACCCGGGTGTTTTGGCTGAAATAAGTTTGTTCTCCTTCTAGTTCCTCGGAGCGGCGAGGAGTGTGGCTGGTGGCTCCCCTGATTGCCAAACTGCCTACCTCGGTTCAAGGTAGGGTCTTGAAAGCTGCGGGAGAGGAGCTGGAGAAAGGTCAGCATTTGGGATCATCCTCTAAGAAGGAGAGAGATAGACAGAAACAGAAAAGGTATGACCTTGGGAAGTCCCTGTGCGCAGAGCTGGAAGGTAGATAAGCTCAGTTTGTCTTAATTTCGTGTTTATAATGGGTACACATCAATCTGAAAAAAAAAATTATCTGAAAGCCCTTGCATTGGTACGGCATGCCTCCGGCAGCCAGCTGAGGCTGCGTCTCAGTCACTTTGCTGTGTCAGAATTTCCTTGCCATGCAGGCGGCTCTTCTGATCAGGGCTCGTAGGGGCAGCTCGGTTGGGGTTCACTTCGGAGCACTGCCATGGATTAGAACCTTTTCTGCCTGATCTCCGCTGAAGCTGTGTCCCTGGTTGATCAGATGAGCCTTAAACCAACTTGTTCGGTTTCTGAGTCAGGGCTGCGGGTGTCCGTGCAGCTCGTGGTCGTGGGTGCCCTGAGCTGGGTGCGTTCTCAGCACCGACACGCGGAATATGTGCGTCTACACGGGCTGGTGCTCTGCCGCCTTCTGTGCACTCCCTTCAATTCATCTGGCAAGGCTTTAATTTGCTAGAACAGAAGCAGACATAGATGCAGGCAATGCCACTTCCAGGGAAAAGAAAAAATAGCCAAAACAAGGAAGGGAGTGGGGATGGGAAGTATCAAAATAACTTTACTGATGGAGTTCTGTGTTTGCCTCTCTCAAAGCATGTCTCTGCTGAGTCAGCAGCCTTTCCTTTCATTGGTACTGACTTGCCTGAAGGGGCAGGATGAGCAGCGGGAAGGGCTTCTCACATCCCTGCAGAATCAAGTTAATCAGGTAAAACAAGCCCATAACCATGAGTACCCTTTGTTAGATGTTTCATGTGTCATCAGTTTTGTGTTGTGTATGATGGTGTAAAACCAGGAAAATTACAGTGCAGTGGTATGCCAGAAGGAACAGTCCAAGGAAGGCAGAATGGGGAGGTGTTTGTTCCTTTTTGAGAGCAAATGCATATTTTTTTTCTAAAATTGTTACAGGGAAATATAATGACCTTGAGTCTGATTTCAGTTCTTTCCAGGAAAAAACAATAAAAGCTGTTTGTCCCGAGAGGAACAATCTTCTCTAGCTTGGTCGTAAAAAGTTGTTATAAGTTTGCAACGTTCCTTGTTTAGGAAAGCCCTTCATCTTCCCCAGCTAGTACAGATTAAAAGTTTTTCATAATTTAAAGACCAATATTGCTGGTCCCAAGCTGACCCACCGCCTGCAGCTCTTCCTTCGGTTCCCTTTGCCTACTCAGCACCTCCGCCAGTTCTGCTCCAGGCTTCCTGCTGCGGTTGGCTCAGGCTCCAGCCTGCAATGGCTCCTTCGGGCTGTCCCCAGTGCCCAGGGTGGTGGCTGTGTGGTTCCTTCTCCTCTCTGTCGTTTCTATGGATTACGGTGACAGCTGATACCTGCAGGGCCGTGGCCTCTCCGCTCAGGTCCAGGCTGTGGCATGGGTCTGCATCCTGGTTGAATTTGTTCCTGTGATGGTTTTTCCCTTGGTGTTGCTGCCACGTGGGCAATCCTCCTGCGCCCTGAAATGCCGCTGGCCCAGGTTCCCCCAGCTCCGGTCCTTCCTCACCCAGACACTCCCCAGATCCTGCTGGGAAGCTGCATCCATTTACTTCCCCGGGGTGGGCAGTTAAACAGGGTGTTTGAGATGATATTCTAAATGAATGCATAACGAAGCTGCTTGTTTCCTTTTTGCTACAACAGGAAGATCAAGTCAGGCAGTTGATAGCAGGTTATCGGCTCTTCGCAGGTTAATTCTTTCCCCCCCCC